AATAAATCTCCCACATTTGCTCTTCAACCAGCTCAGAACAAGTGTGAGAGAGACAAGAGAAGAAGAAAGAACTAAGAGGGATTGGATTCCTCTGGGAAGATTGATTTCAGATATTCTGACAGAAAACAGGTTGATAGAACATCTGACAGAGGCTCAAGAAATCAGCACTCTGGAAGCAACTGCTGGGAAACCACTGAATGCCAAGAATATGAAGAAAATGAAGATTATTGAAAGCATTAAGAAGGAACCAACAATTGCTTCTCACGAGGTCATCACTTCTAGGAGAATTCCTCTGAAGTATTTCCCACTATTCTCTGAGATAGATGCTTCTCCAGAGATTATAGTCAGATACCTTGAAGCGTGCAAGGAAGATGTGACTATTCTAGAAATTAACATCTGTGACCTGCACAAGCCAGCTCCAGAGGTTGTGCTAAAGAAATCTAGAAAGAGGAAGGCACGAGGAGAAGGATCTTCTCAGAGGACACCCAAAGCTGCGAAAAAGAAAGGTAACAAATCTTTTGTTTCTATTGTAGAATCAATAGTTGTTCCAACATCTGAAACCATTCCCCCTTAACCAACAGAAAACCCTTCACCTCGAACATTTGAGGATTTTGACATAGAGTTTGACCCATCTGTAACTCGGAAATTTCTTAAATGAACCCCACTCCCCCAATCCACATCTAGAACAACATCAACAAGAACTTGCAAGAGTTCTCTCTGATATTGAACTGTTTGATCAAGACTTTTCCTCACCAATCCCAGAAAATCCAAACACTCAAACTCAACAACCGGAAAATCCACAACCACACTCTCGTCAACCAGAACATCAAAACCCCCTCACTCCTCAATCTGAAAATCCATCTTCTGAAACACCAGAACCAGAAACTCAACACGCTACCGCAAACCAATCAGAAAACTCTCTTTCAGACTCTGATACCACTACCCCAATTCCTGGGATAACAGAACCTCTTACGGTTCGTTTACCTCTCTCCATTCATGATATTCCAGAAATACCTTCACCATATGAATCCACACCACCAAACACTCCTCACTCACCAATCCTAATTTCTGATTCCTCTACTCCCTCACCAATTAACCGTCTAGCCGATCATTTCAGAACTGTCATTGATCTAGAAGCGATGGACCATCTAGCTTCCACCTCAAATAAAATAGCCATTCCCAAACCCAAACCAACCTTAACAAAATCATATGTTGGTAAGAACCGGTTGATTTTTGAAACAGAAATACAAGACTGGGTTACTTCTTTGAAGCAAGCAAGTCAAGAGAATTCTAATCCTGCTGCTTCTGATTCTCTGTGGGATAGATTCAGAAAATGGTTCAACTCTGCATCCTAGATTCTGAAAGAATTGAGCTATGAGATGGCTCAGCAGAACTTCAGTGATCAGCTGAAAGCCTTCAAAGATCAAGTTCTAAGTCACCGGGACAAGAAAGAAATTCTTCTGCTGGAAAATTCTCCCTAGAAAGAGCACCAACCTTCAGAAGCCACTGAACCAGATTCTGAGAGTCACCCTCTGACTACTACTCCAAAAAAAGAGATTGCAACAAAAGAAGTTGTTCAATCAAAAGAGGCTGCAGAGTGTTCTGAACGACATGCAACCCCTGAAGATACACCAACTTTGTCTCTAGTCATGCAAACTCTGGAAGAGTTGAAAAAGGAGAATGCTTTAATCCATGCCAGACTGGATAAGCAAGAAGACACAAACAAAGAGATCAGGGATATATTGGACAAGCAATAAGATACTACAAAATAAATCAAAGACATTCTGGGAAAGCAGGAAGAATCAAGCACTCAGATTAAGAGCTTGCTGGAAGTGTTGTTCACACGACTTTCCCCTCCTCCTTAGGTTTTCTTTAACTTATTATCTGTATTCTTCATCTTATCCTCCTTGTTTCTGAAAAATGTCATTGCATTCTATTTTCAATACAAATCATCTTTTTGACTCTGATTATATTGCTTTTTGATACCTGACAAAAAGGGGGAGAATGTAAGATATTTTCAATAACAGTATACCGGGACAAAGTCTCAAACATTCTGAATATCTTAACTTCTATGTTTTTTTTGGAAAGCTTGAACAGGAACATATTCTGATAAGGACAGAATGAGATGCATCAAAAGCTCCAACGAGAAGGAACTTCAGGGAAGTATCTCATCTCTATCTGAGTAATTAACTTAGGGGGAGACTCTCTTAAGCTTTTTGTTCTATATTTTTTATTGAAAATCCTAGTTTTTGTCATCATAAAAAAGGGGGAGATTGTTAGAACATAGTTTAATTTTATAACCCTTAATTAGAGTTTTGATGATAACAAACACAAAGAACAAATATGAACTCTAAATTTGTGTTATTTTTTATACAGAAGTTCTGACTGAAACAACATCATAAGTTAAGCTACAGAAGATTTCAAGCTGAGCTAATTAGAATGTTCTGAAGAATGATGATCATAATCCGTGTTGAAGTAAAAGATACTCTGACTTTGAATCGAAGTCTAATATGCCAACAGATCCTCACTTTTCGGAGTCATCAAAGTTCTGAAGTAAAAGCAGCATCCAAGATTCTATTGTTCTGAAGCGTTACTTTTCAATTAAGACAGTATCATATGCAACGGCTTCATTCAGACAAGAATCTTCTCAGTATGGAAAGTGAATTGAGTGTCCATTATCACGCTTTATTTTGGACAAGATTTACACGCTATATAAACAAGCTTAAAGGATAAATCGTTTACAATTTTCACCCACGACTGCTCATACATCTTAAATGCTGCAAATACTCATATTCTATTATACTCTCAAATTGTGTAATATATCACAGTAGTGATACAATTTTTGTAACAAAAAACAACAGTACACAGTAAATCATTTTCTTTTGATTAAGCTAGTTTTTTCTTGAGATAAACCGGGTTGTGGTTGTACTCAAGAAGACTTTGGTAGTAAAGTAGTATTATAATCAGTTTTGATTAGTGAATTAAGTCCTCATTGGAGAGAGGCGAAATCACCTTGGCGGGTGGACTGGAGTAGTTTGAGATCAAAGTAACCAGGATAAAAATATCGTGTCTACTGCTTTTGTTTTTTAGTTCCAATTTAACACCCCCCCTTCTTGTGTTTTTCACTTCTTCACATCAAGTCTCTTCAGGATTCCCCAAAGAGGTATTTTTGTCAAGTCAAGGTATTCTATTGAGTGAATGGGACAACGATACGAAGATGAAGTTGTGGCTTATTTTGATCAAGATAAACATTATTATTATCACGTACTTGTTATTTCAATGGCAAAATAACTTGGATTTTAAGAGATATGAGCTCAAAGTTAAAAGACGTGTTCAAAGCTACTCGATTCATACATCATCACTTAAGGAGTTCATCAAGGTTTCCATGGTGCTTAGACCCTTAGCTTAAGGTCTAGATTCTTAGGAAAATTTGGGAGTTTTCTTTTAATATGTTGATTATCATTGATGAAAGAAAAAGAGGAAAAGACTTCATTTGAAATTCAAATTGCTTGCATTACAAGTGATATCCAAGTACTGGGTTCAAGGATCAAGGCCCATTCAAGGATGCAACATGGAGTACACTTTACGTATTATAGAGTCTATGAACAAAGCCCATTCAAGCCCTACTTCAAGTACAAATAGAGGGAAATGGCAAAAGGAAAACGCAAGGTAGAGAGATATGTTGAAGAAATTAGCATGAGATGGAAAAGATATATTGCCAAGTCTTCTAGTGATTTACAAAGAAACAAGTTACAAGAGAAGATTACAAGAAATTCTAAATACAGTATAGCATTCATACAAGGGTTCACATGTTGTTCTTACTATACTAAAACCTATTGTACTCCACGACAAATTTCAAGCATCACAAACTTCAAGCTTCATTTTCCTTCTATGAGTATCTCAATCAAGACATTGCGCAATCTTCACTAAGCTTCAAACTTTAAGAATATTCATGACATAGTCATTTTGCATCGAGCCTACCATTATATTTGTGCCAAATTTGCGGTTGACATAAGCCAATTCTCGAAACAGGCTTGCACTAGTTCAAGAAAAAAATTTGAAACTTCAAAAAGGTGAAACCCAATAAAGAGTCAGGGTAAGCAATTCACAACCGATTCTTGCAAAATGGGTCCCTGCATCGAGTTCACAAAGAGTTCACCAGGAAATAAAAACAATAAACCAAAACAATATACAGAAAACCAGTATACTCCCATAATATCATCTGATTGTTAGTTGACTTCAAAAATCCACTTAATAACTTAATTTTCCATAACTAACTAATACTTCCAATTGACATCAACCTAACCAGATTCCAGCAATAACAGAAAATCCTAAAACCATAACAAAATTGTAGCTAACCTTCTAACAACTCAAACTACCTCCTAACTGTAACTAACTTTACAGAATTCATCTAACCGAAAAAAGCAACCCACCTATAACAGAGTTTCAAAACCGCAAAAACAGAATTCTTTAACCTGTAACTAACTTCTAAAAACTCCTAACTGTCATAACCCTATAACAGCCCCTAGCAAAAAAAAACTAACAGTTAGCTTATCTAAACTGCCAAAAGCAGAAACCTATAACAGAAACTAACCTCTTTTCTAACTGATCCAACTAACTTCCTAACATCTCAACAAATTTATAACGGATCATAACAGAAAAAAGGAGAAGGTGAGAAAAAAATAATTTCCAGCTCAGAAGTAAAACAATTTATAAAACCAGAAAAGGCTTCAACCTTCAAACCTCTTAATAGAAAAATAACAACCTCTTAACTACCGTAATAGAATTCAGGATCCTCTAACAACCTCTAACTGCACCTAACAGAAAACTTCCAACGGATTCTAACTAAATACAACAGAAGTTGTAACAGAAGAGGAGGGAAGGAATCAGTCAAGATATAACAGAAATTATCCACAGAAACTCACCAGAAAAAACCAGAAGAAAATTCTCTTTTCAATGCTCTTTCCATAACCATTTCTGAACTTTTCAACAATCAATCTTCACCTCCTTCCACCACCTTCAAACTCCATCACTCTCCAATCTTCGTCGACCTTCATTTTTCTCAAAATCTCTCTTCTCCTTCCATCACCGTTATCAACCTTCCTTCTCTGAAACAACCACAACAAATTCTTCATCCCTCTTGGCAACAAAATTTCGCAATCTTCAACACAACGACAAAAGCTTCATCTCTCTCCCTGAAAACCGCATCAATTTCTCCGCACTCTCTCGTTCTGCTACTTGACTTCATCGTAACCAGCATAAATATTGATTCTTCATAATCAAATTTACACCTGCAACAATGATCCATCCAACAACAAGCTGAAATAATTGCATCCTCTTCATCTTCATCGCATCAATTGTCTTCATCTTCTTCATATCAAGCATCTTCGAGCAACGATTCACGGCGATATTGAGCATCTTCATCAACATCACAATTCAGAATCAACAACAGAAATGTAGAAACAAAAGCAAAGAAAAAGGGAGATATAGAGGAGGAACGAACTTACTTGAGCGAGGCTTCACCAAAGTTCGTAAATCACGTTATCAGAGGTAAGCAGTTTCATCATCTTTCTCCATATTTTGCAAGAATTGTAAAGATCCGAGTATGTAGAATAAAATCCCCATAGAGTCGTGCCCCGAAACATTCACCGGAGTGTTTAATTTAACTCCTAGGGTTTTAGGTTTTCTCTGTTAGAATCAGACCAACGCAAGCAAAACCAAAAGGAAATAGTGGCATATCTGAAGTCAGGGTGACAAAACGAGTGGAATGGTGGTGTTTCGTCGGTGCAAATAAGGCCGTCAAAGACGCAGGCATATAAGAGGGGAGAACAACGTGAAATTAAGAAGGGAGTGGTTCGTTTTTGAAAGCAGGTGAAAGGTCATAAGACCAAATGTACTTAAAATGCGACCGTTTCGTACGTGTAGCTTTTTTTTTTAATTTCTTTTCTTTTTTCTTGTATCCAGTTAATAGAAATTAGGAATAAATGAATAAATTGAATTGAATAAAAGGTGGACCGGATTCTGTAGCGGGCCTAGGTGTTTGTGCCTTTTCTTCACACTCCCTTCTGGATCTATTACCACACCATGTTCATTCCCATTTTAATTTGTTCTTTTTAGTAAATTAGTTATGATACTTTCTTTCATGATTTTCTTGCTGAAAATTTTGTGGATGATTATATGTTGATTCCTGACTTGTTGATGTTTTTTCATAATTTTTCTATTAGCTTAGGAATTAATTGAATTAATGTTTAGTACATAATTAGAATTAGAATTTTAACGCGTTCTTGTCGATTCTATATCCTTGATTCAATTTCCTTGGCATGATGAGTGGTTTGGCGGTAGGTTCTGACCCTTGAACAATGGCATTCTATTTTTGACGCGTTTTTTCATTGTGAAAGGTACATTTTTGTGCTTTCGATCAAGTAACATAATAGGTAGTTAGGTGATCGAAGCATACGGCTTATGCTCGCTTACGATGCAATACGCCTTATTCCTCATCGTCCTAAGAAATTCATATTATATTATATGATTGTCCTGGTACATGTGATATTTTGTGATGCTCTGCACATGAACTTCTGATTACGCGTTGCATTCGCAACACACATTTGCCTTTATCTTAGTTGGACATCATTTCTAACTCTGTTTGTTTCATGGTGAAGCTTGCCTGACGCGTACTCCCTGCTTCTCCATTGCTTTCGTCCGCTTTTAACGATTTGCTTGCTTGTGGTAGTCGCCGCTACTACCTTTGTACTTCTCCACACTTTATCGCATTTCTTTACTACCTTTCTAGATATCATGAGAAGTAGGGATTTATTTCTTTTTGATGCCATGAGAAGTAGGGTAGAGATGTATGACGGGGGTCTCCGTTGCTGATCATGTCAAGAACCCCTCCAATTTATTTAAAGACCCGTTTAGGGCAATTCCGCATTGTGTACATTCTGTTTGCTATTTGTGGTTGTTTAAAACCCTACCTCTGTGTAGGTATTTTGCAGGTGCGTTTATATTTGTGCCCGCATTATTCCCCCATCCCTTATTGAAGTCCTCAAAAGGAGGCGAGCAGGGAAGGGTTAGTAATCAACCCCTACAATTTTGTCAATGTCATCCTTAGCTCGTGACGCACCACGATGCTTCGGAGTTGTGCCTACTCATGTGTATCGAGTTGTCAAGTCAGGAAGGGTTCCACAATTGAACCCCCACATTTTGTCAGGAGTTTGCATTGGCCGATGCTGATACTCTGTGATTATTCATACTGCCTTCTGTCATCTACCTCGATCTCCTATATCTTGGTTAGGTGTTCAGTTGCTTTGGATATCACATTTTTGTTTTTTCATCTCACTTCCGCTTGTTTGTCTCGAGTGATACGCTCCCTTCGACTAAAGCATTTAGTTTCTTTTCCTTACTCTTTTATGTGTGTGCTATTTTGAGATTTCTTTCTTTACCCTTGTACATACCATGTTCCCTTAGGACGTGCTTGTTACTTTCGGACGCAAGTTAGACCTTAGGTTGTAAACCATGCATACTAACATTAGGTAGAGATTTCCCTTTCATCCTTGACGTAGGGCTACCATTGTATGATAACATTAGGTTAGAAATAGGCTAGTCTCCCTTAGACTCTTTTCTTCCCCCTTTTGCATCTTTGCATCTAAAACTAAAACCTGTTTCTTAGCAAATCAAAAACATGCTAATCACACTTACACCCTTTTTCAAGGTAACAAAACACAAACCAATCAAATGTGGCATCTTGCCTTGAGGGCGTAACTCAAAACCCTTTTCAGGTAAGGACATGATTAATTTACTTATGTGCCAACGCATAAGTCTCCAAAGGTCGAGCTGTGGCAGAAAGCGGAACTAACATTGTTCCATTAAAAAACAAAAATAAAACGTGTGAGACGAACTACGGTAGCTCTAATTACTCAAAAAGGATACGTAGCCATTAGGGTAGGGCCCAAGCGAGTACAACTTTATTTTCCCTACATTATTTTCTCCTTTCTTTTGCATGAATTCTTCCTTAGAAATAAACAGTACGCCTAGTTTAAACACACCCATAAGATAGACAACAAGAGTGGATACCATAGAGTACTATGGGCGTGTGGTGTGCTAATACCTTCCCCTCGCGTAACAAACTCCCTTACCTGATCTCTCGGTTGCAGACCGTGAGTTCTCCCTTCTTAGGTTTTGTTGATGTTTACCTTTCCCTCCATATGGGATAAAATATGTTCGATGGTGACTTCATTGTTTGATGATTTTCAGCCGGTTGTTTCACAAGGAAGCTAAACATTGGAGATATCATTTACAGTTGTGGAGATTTTTCCGAATGTTCCATTAATAAGGCTGCGTGGTTTCATTAATTACAACCCTACTTTAACATTGCGACAACTTGGGTAACCTTTGGAGGATAAACCCTCTGATGGACAACTTCAACAACTAATCATTCATGACATGGGAAAAATTAACCAAGAGTTGCTCAACAAGATCATCCGATCTTGGAATAAGATAAACAAGAGTAAAGTTGAAAGAAAGAATGTTGTGGCAAAAGAACTTTACACTCGATGGGTTTTAGATAAGGTGCAAGTTGTTAAATTACCATTCAATGTTGATCCTGAGTACAAACCAGATGTCCCAGATCCTCTTCCTATGTCCTTAGAAGAGATAGATAACTTGAAGAAAGCCTTGGATCAAGCTCAAAAGGGAAAGAAGAATAGGAGCTTAACCTTCATAACTTAGTTAAGGAAAAAAGGAATATGCAACACGAGCTTGAATCAAAAGATCAACAGATTTAGAAAGACCGTGAAGCATTTGAAAAGGAGACTCTTAAGCGGAAATGTTCAACCGAAGGATTGTTGAGTTCTACCTTAAAATTGGATTCCCACAACTAACATTTGGAGGATGCTGCTAGTGAAATCGGGAGGCTAAATAAGTGGTATGAAAAGGTGATGCAAGACAAAAAGGAGATGGAAGAAAATTTGAGGGCTCAAATTCAAAGTTTGGCCCAAGCTTCTTTATATCAAGAAAAGCAAATTCTCTATCTTACTATGAAACTTCAAGATAGCCAAGAATCAGATGTAGAAGAACGTCTCAAGAGGATGAGGGCAGAAATACTTCTCTCCCAAAAGACTGATGAATATGAGCAAGTTTGTCATGAGTTTGAAGACTTACAAAAGAATTAACTCATACAGAGGAGACTTTATATGGAGATGAGGGCTGAGATATTATACTGGGAAAAGCAGCATGAAAAAATCGCTAAAGAAGGAAAGGATAACCACAAGATGATTCCTGACCTCTAACAAGAATATCGGTTCTACAAAGACAAGCATGCAAGACTCACTTTCTTAGCCAACAATCTCATTGGTGACATCCCTAGAAGTTTGAGAGATGCAGAAAATGTGATGGTCCTGCTTCCAAAAGACGTTGAAGACTTCCTAAAGCTTTGTAGGACTATGGTTGATGGTTTCACAGTAGATATTTGCATGCGCACTTAGAAGATTTTGTTTCCCTTTGTTATTTCCTTCTAGAAATTAAATTTTAATGCTTTGGTTCGAATATTTTTCAATATCTGAATTGTATTCTCTTTTTGAAGACAAATTATCATTTCTATAAAAGTTTTTGTTTCCATATCTCGATTGTGAATTTGTTTTTGAATGCTCACCAATAAAAAAGAAAAAAAAATACATAAAAAAAAGAATATGAAAGAAAAATCCAAGTGAATAAGACATTCAAAAAACAAAACTCTTAGCATATTCATACGTATCCATGAATTCACAAACATGTCATTTCATATTTCATACAAAAACTCATTATTTTTAAAAATCATCTCCAGTTAAATCATTGTAAGAAAGCACTGCTTCTCCAACCACCATACCAAACAAGAGCCCATCAAAAGAAAGTGATGGAACAAATCAAAGAGAATTAAGCTGCCTTCAAGGAAGATTTGGAGCAAATGAAGGGCAACATTGACTCGATGAAAGGAGACATGAGTCAAGTTTTTCTAGCTTTGAAGAACAGCATTGAGAGGCAAGAACAAATTCCTAGGGCAACCTATGAAGAAGTATCCCAAACTATCGGTGCATCGAGCGATCACTAACCAAGAAGATAGCTAGATTTAGAGCCCCTAAAGCCAATTGTATCTCAACAAGAGGTCATACAAGCTGATACTGAAAGGTTTATCCCACCTCCACCGAAGGTAGGGGCATCCCATACTTTGCGAATTCCGGTCAACAATATAGACAACTACGTAGACTTACAATATGGAGACCTTAATTTGTAAGGTGTTACTCAAACACACCAACCTAAAATTGTTAAGAATCCCTTGGAGCTCAATCAATATAAGGCTTTTGAAGAAAGGTTGAAGGTTGTGGAGGGTTACGATGCATTCGACGTCGATGCTCTTGAAATGGGTCTAGTTCCGGATGTGGTGATCCCTCCAAAATTCA